ACATAGTTTGTGGGTGTTTTTCTTAATTTGGAATTAGCTTTGAAAAAGTGGTAAGGGGCTTCTTGGGGGCCTTTTACTGAAATTGATTTAATTAAATTTAGTGAGCATTATATTATGCATGGTATTACAGTTTAGTTGACATTCCTTGTTATTGGTTGTTTACGTATTCTTAACTATTTGAATAATGTTGGCATAATTATATATATATTGGTGATGTTTTAAATAGTTACATTGCTGTGAGATATATAGGATATGTGAAAGGCATAATTGTATCATGTCATGAAAATTGGCTTGAATTGTTGGGTTGAGAAAATAATGATGGAAAAAAGGGTAATGGAAATGAGATTTTGTGTAGTTGAGTCTAACTCTTGGCAGGTACCAGATCTCAAGGATCCCACAGTGCACATGATTTTTATTGAGTGATACGAGACTTAAACAAGATGACTAACAAAAAGGGATTTATGGGATGATTGAGATGGGGGTTAGTTCATATAAATGGGCATTCGAGATTAAGTGGTATAAGCATGGTATGGGACATGCAGGTGTGCTTGTCCAGTTATATGAATTAACATGAGTAGAATTGAAGCTCATTCATGCATTATTATTAATAATGTGATATTTGGCTGTGTGATTGTATGTCACTTAATTTAGTTATATCAATTTACTATGAAAAGGTTTATGTCCCTACTGAGTTGTGGTTTCACTCACCCCCTAACAGATTTTGCAGGTACTGAACCTGAAATCTAGGACTTGTGATGATTGTGGCATGTCAATAGGGTGTATTGTGTACATAGCTTGTGGTTGAATAATAAGCTACTCTTTTGATGAACTCTTGAGTAGTTCTACCTTGTAAAAATGTAAGATTTCGGATGTTGTCGTTTCCGCTGAATATTCTATGTGAAATATTTATTTATTTATTTAAATGTTCTTCACATTTTAATTATAGCTTTTATTAAATTCTATGGTTAAGGTGTGAATCATGTCTTAATCCAAAAATACGTAAATCCGTGGATTGGGGCATGATAGGAAGATTTATTGTGCTAAACTGTATTAGTTTTAGTTTAATCTTCCTTGTGCTTGTTGTACTATGTTCTTGGCCTTTTCAACTTATGTAGTCATTGTTTTTCCTTTCCCTTTTTGGGGTGCCACTTCAAGCGCACACACTACCAAAGCTTAGACATTACCATTATTTGCAAAACTGTTCGAAGCATCAAACTATAATGTAAAAGATGAAGAGAAGATGAACTTAGGATTTTGTGGGGGTGGAATGGTGAGTGGATAAAGTTGTTATTAATTTTTTGGCAAAAGTTTACTACTTTGGTCCTTGTATTTTCAATTTTGTCAATTTTATTTTTGTAGTTTCTTTTCTTTTAGTCGAAGGATGAAATTTCATTACGAAAAACTCACCCAAGAGGATGGTACAAATACAGCAATACAAGGAAGCACAAATCTAATTTGTAATATCAAATTAACAGGAGCAACATACTACCCGAGATAATGATATCAACAAATAAACAAAACTAAAAATTGATAAAAACTAACAAGATTAAAAACAACATAGCAACAAAAACCACAGAAAAGCACAAGCACCACCAAACAGCCACCATAAACCAACAACACTCAAGGCAACCCCAAGGCAAAACAAACAGAACCATCAGGACGGAAAGGAGGTGGTGCGAGCACCCGAGCAGTAGCAGTGTTGTGGCTCTACACACCTTCCAAGATAATCGTGAGAAATCGCTTTGTTGGTTATCTGCTACCACAAAGGAAAGCAGGAACCAATTGGAGAACAACTAAGGGATAACACTGATTGGAATGGAATGGTAGAGATTTGGGGGAGCAATAAAGATATGAGGCATAAAACCCCAGCAAAGAGGCAAGAAGCCTAGAGGCATGAAGCCCAAAAAACGAGTAGGAAAGCTTGGGCACGAACCGTGAAAGAAAATAAAAAACCAGCGAAGAGAGATGAGGGGAGGGGTAGAGACCTCCTCCCCCACAAGGAGGAGATGCGGCGCTGGATTTGGAGAGCCCAAGTTTTGCTAGGTTGCGGCGCTCTCACAAGTTAGTTGTCCATGTTCCCTAAAATTTGTAATCTGTTATGTTGTGTTTTGTTTATTTATTTTTGTAGTAAATTCAAGGACACGTTTCAATTTATGTCAAACTCCTCCAAATTTCGTTAAGTTTTGACCACTTACCCCTCACGAGGAGGTTCACTCCAGCCATATAACAATAAAACACAATCTGGAGGTGTTCCCAATCATTTTAGGAGCGATTTTGGAGCTTAAGGTTCCCCAAAAAAATTACATATATGGGTTGAAATTTGGAAGAAATTTGACCCAAGTTGACCAAAATACCCTCTACGTGAGTGGCACGTGATAAAAAATTCAGAACTTACCAAAATTGAAATGTGTCCTTAAATTGCTTTGCAAGGATAAAATTGACAACTACAAGGATAAAAATGAAAAATTTAAAACTACAGGGATCCAAGTGGTAAAACTGACAAACTAAAGGGACTACATCTACAAATGGTTTTTTTGCCTATTTTATTTATTTATTAAATTGTGGTTAGGAAATGGGAAAAAAAATTTAAAAAAAGGGATTATTTTATTTATTTATTTATTTATATATTTCTTGTAAATGAGCGGACGCAGTGGTATTTTAGTAATTTGAAGGCACAGGCAAGTGCAGGCCCCAGTGAGCATCAAAACCCTAAACACTCTAAAACCCTAAGCCATTCGCTGTATTGGAAAGCCACCCTTCCCGCAAAAGCAACACTCAGAGCTTCTCATTCCTTCATCAGCGAAAAATCATGCGTCCTCCAAGAGGCGGCGGTGGGTTTAGGGGCAGCCGCGGTGGTGGCGGCGGCTTTAGAGGCGGCCGCGGAGGAGGTGGCCGTGGTGGAGGTGGACGTGGCTACCGCGATGAGGGTCCTCCTTCTGAAGTCGTAGGTCTGTTCATTATTCTTTCTCAGCTTTTCTTCACCTTGTTGGGTTTTCGATGAAAGGAAAAATCCCGTTTGGTAATTGTTTCTGTTTCTTCTGTTTAATGGGGATTTAGGTTTTCCCTGAAGGTTTCAACTTTGTTTTTATCATATATTTTGGTTTATGGCTGTCAAGTTTGTTGAGAAATAATCTGTTAGTTAGAACTTGAGTTGGTGGAAATATGTTTCAGTTACTGTAAAAGAAAAAGAAAAAAAAATTGGTTTGGTGCTACAGTTTGAGTATTATTAGGGTGTCAATATAGTTATTTTTGTTTTTCAAGTCACTAATTAACGTGTTAGATCTCTGATTTATATGTCTTGCTGTTTTTTACTCGGAAAGCAAATAGAGATATGTTAGAAAATCTGTTTCTTTTTCTTACTAGATGATTTGTTGATTGTTGAGACTTGTAATGATACCTTTTGGGTGTGCAGAGGTTTCGACATTTCTTCATGCGTGTGAAGGTGACGCGGTCACAAAGCTCACAAATGCGAAGAAGGTGCCCTATTTTAATGCCCCTATCTATCTGCAGAACATGACTCAGATAGGGAAGGTTGATGAAATATTTGGTCCAATCAATGAATCTGTGAGTCCTCTTGTGCGCCTTTATGATGCCAACTCCTTGTAGCTTGTGTTTAGTACTGACATGTACTATGGTGTTTTGTGTTGCAATTGTAGTTATTCTCGATTAAAGTGATGGAAGGCATTGTGGCAACTTCATATTCACAGGGCGATAAGTTCTATATTGACCCAGCAAAGCTTCTTCCTCTTGAAAGATTTCTTCCACAGCCAAAGTATGCTTTACTTCTGCATTATTTAGATTGCATTGTCATATTTGAGTTGAAATAATGATAAGGTTAATTTGTTTGCTCTACTCTACAATGCATGCCTTGTGATGAACAACTGCAAAGCCTATATCATTCCATATCACTGTCTGCCCTTATTCCAATGTGGTTATTATCAAGAAGTTGGCAGGGGATGGGGATTTATGCTAATGTAATCTCAAGTTTGATGTCCTAAGTTTTTATTTTAGTGTGACAGCATGATTCGTGCTTTGATTAGGATGACAAAGTCAGTCTTCTATACTGTCAACTTGAGGTCAGGCTTTGGTTTCAAGCTAATAGGACAAGCAAAAAGCTAATCTCTCTAGCTTACTCCTGGTCACATTGCTGGACCAAGTACTACTTGTTAGAGATGTTCCATGGGTTCTTTGGGCACCTTCTCAATGAACTCTTTATTTTTTGGCCTATCTTCAACTGTTCTGTTTGATAACAGCAGGAGTTGGTTGATAAAATGTGTTTTTATAAGGTTCATCTAGAAGCTAATTTTATGGCTGATCCATGGCTCATTTTGGTCACTCTTATCGATTCCCTTTGTGGGTTAGCTTCATTGTCGATTTTAGTGATATGGTTTTAATTATTTTTGAGCTTATCAGTTATTGTCATTAGTTCTCTCCCCCAAAAGTAAATCCTCAGTCTACCAGTGAGTGTGGTTTTGTGTTATTTGTATTTAGTAGCATACAAAAGGTCTTCATCCAATCCTCGTCTATATTAGTTGTCATATTATTCTCTTGATGCATGAATCCATGCTTGTGAGTGACACTTGAAGCATCTTAAAACATGTCTTTTTCATTCAAAGAATTTAAATGGATGGTTTTGTTGCAGGGGACAGAAACCAGCTTTTTCTCGAGGTGGAGGCCGTGGTGGAGGCAGAGGTGGTAGTTTTCGTGGTGGTGGCCGTGGAGGTGGTGGTTTTCGAGGAAGGGGTGCTCCAAGGGGCGGCAGAGGCCCCCCAAGGGGTGGTAGCCGTGGTGGTGGCTTCAGGGGCAGAGGGAGATTTTAGAATAGCATTTTGTAATGTTTCTAGTGCCCCCATTTTGCGTGGTCATTTCAGGATGCGCATTTGGGGCTCACAAAAATCACCATTATATGCTGATTTTGGTGTTGACATGTGGTTAATGGATTATTTATTTTACTGCGTATTGTAGTTTTATCCTAGCTGCAATCTGGACTTGAGTGGAGATTTAATCATAGATGTTTATTCTGAATTTATAAAATCTGTTTTGAAAAAGTGCCTGGATAATGGATCTTATCCAGGCTTTGGTACCATTTGTTATGTTGTGAAATACTCAATCCTCATTGAGTATTGTCTATGTCCTCCAACATCAAATACCCGAAGGACCAACGTCTTCTCTAGTAATTTCCATCAAGCCTTTGAACTCTACAAAGCCAGTGTAAGAGCTTTATTTCTTTGCTTCTTTCATTTAACCTCCATTGGTATCGCTTCTAGGCCTCTACTAATATTGGTTAAAGTTTGACAATCATAGTCAAACCATCGTCTCCCGAAGTGTTTGTTTTGGTGATTTTTTTCGTAATCAAGTGTTCAAGATTTGCTTCAATCCTTCGGTTTCAGTTAACTTTCGTTTTTCCTGGTTTATGCCCATTCTGCTTTACAAATTCTCTCATCCCTTAGAACTATGGGATGAAATACGAAGTGCTTTTTTGCGAGACACAAAGAAATACCAACTTAACCCGACATGTAATGTAAAATCTTCAGGTGGCATTAGATGGGTGGAATGGGAAGGAATAGAACCGGAAGGAAATCAAAATTCGTGGGATGTTTGTTTACTTATTAATTGTTTGGTTGAAAATAAATGGAATCAATAGTGGCATAGGCTAGAGAGATAGATCAATATCCAGCCTAAAAGGGATGAATATGATGATCCCAAAAACTATGAGAACCAACTTTTAAAGCAAGCCATCAAACCAGACTAACCAACAAACACAGGAGTTAACCTTCATAAATTTATATGTATATTCAAGCATAACAATCTTGTCCCTTGTCTCATTTTTACCGCAAGACCCCATGACCAATTGTACACCTTACCATGTAACTCATTGGTTAAAAAACAAAAGGTTAATTTTTTCATCCACCATTAACAGAAGCTCTAAAATGCAAACAGGACCGATTCACATATACAGATTCACCATTTCATTTAAAAGAAGGCAACCGTGAAGAATTAAGCAATGCGAATAGATGAAGAATCAGAACTTTCATTCTCAAGCAATCATTTATAGAGTACTTGAACACTAAAAAAAAAAAAAAACCATAAAGAGAAAAAAGAAAAATGAAACACACAAGAGTTCTAGCAGTGCCTCAAAAATTCATAATTCAGGGTATGAATTCCTAGAGGCTCATGGTGCCTGGAGACATAACACCAAGGACAATTAACTTCACTGCTGCTGCTCAGCCTGAGGCTTGGGTGCTGCTTCTTTGATCTCATCTGCTCCGTCATCCTAAACGCATGCAAACAAATGATATAAATAATCAACAATTAAATAAATAAAAAGTACAAAAGCATGAACACACATGTATTTGTGGGTGTAGACCGATTGATATATAGGGACCAACCTGCATATCTGAAGTCCACAATGTGAGATTATCACGAAGAAGTTGCATTATCAAAGTGCTATCCTTGTACGAATCCTCTCCCAGTGTATCCAGCTCTGCAATGGCTTCATCAAAAGCCTAGTTGAAACATAAAAAGGAAACCAAAAAAAAAAATTAGAAAACATGAAACCAAAATGAGAAATCTTTTAAGAAAGCACGGGAAAGAACATATAATCAATAGTTCTACAAGAAAATATATATAACTGATAATCCAGATCAGCAGAAACAAATTCTTGAAAATAGAATGGCAACCAAGATGAATAATCACTTTGATGCACGAAATAGCAGGCAATAATAAAGATAAAGATGAAATAAAACAGTCCTAAATCCCTTTATCTTATCTGCGAGGTTTGAAGTATTAAACATTACGAACATAATCAAATTACTAATAAGCATGCTGACATGAATTGAATAACCTGTGTCTTACATTTGGCAAGCAGATAATGGTCTCTGCATATATAGTCAGCATCACAAGTTTGGCTACAACTCTTAACAATGAGGGGGAAAAACACATTTCTGAGTTTGTTGTGTGCGTGAAAGAGAGAGGGAAGAGAGGAGAGATGTCAAAGGAGGGATGAGCTAGAACTGCAAATTTGTGAGCTCTGAGAAGGCAAAAATACAGAGCCTTATCTTTTTGTGGCAAGCATTTGTTTTCTTAGAAGTAGGCAAGTCAAAACACGTGAGAAAAATAAAACACATTTTGGAGGCATCATCACAAGGCCTAGTTTCTTTTTGTGCGTTCAAATTCCAGAGATTCATTACATTCACCCCAATAACATAATATCAAACACAACATTACTCTATTGGGGGGAAATAGAAATATACCAACAGAGTCAAACATATGATTCGGAAGTAGGATTCTTAGCACTTATTCATAAAGAATTTCCTCACCTGCTTGGCAAGATTGCAAGCCCGATCGGGAGAATTTAAAATCTCGTAGTAAAACACAGAGAAGTTCAAAGCCAATCCTAAACGGATGGGATGAGTTGGAGCCAGCTCAGAGTTCGCAATATCCTGCAAACAGAGTATTATAACAACATGGGAAATATCATATCAACAGATGAACAGAATGAATTTAAAATGTTGTAACCTCAAAGCATGAATAACACAGTAACATATATCTTTAATTGACAAGAAAAATCATGTGATTCAAAATTAACTAGAAGAAACAGATTTCCACAGGTTGGCCTTAACTAATACCATTTGGAATTAAGCACATGAAAAAGAAATATCACTTGATTTCCCTATTCCCATGGTCACAAAGAAAAACCATTACCAATAGAATCATTTACCAATCAAATAATCAATTCCAAAATCATGGACACCAAAAGATTGCAGAAATGATCTCTGAAACCAGCGCTGATAAGCAAGCAGTGAACATATCCTAAACCAAATCAAGCCTTGGTACCCATTTTTCAATTATTCCCAACCAAACAAATGAAAATTCGATCTAATAAATTCACCAGAAACAACCAAACAAGGGGATGCATAATATACAACCATATTTACCAAAGTATTCAAATTTGAAGAAAAAAATCCACAATTTATTTTATAAATAACCACAAAGAGCAACCAAATGAAATCAAAATCAAACCAAACCTGAGCAGCCTTATAGGCATTGAGGGTATTCTCAGCAGCCTCCTTACGCTCATTTCCAGTCTTGAATTCAGCCAAATACCTATGGTAATCTCCCTTCATCTTCAGATAAAACACCTTGGAATCGCCGACGTTGGCCGACGGCACGAGCTTGGAGTCAAGAAGCTTGAGAATCCCACCGCAGATGTTAGAGAGCTCGTTCTCGATCCGTGCCCTGTAGTCCTTGATGGTGGCCACGTGATCGCTGTTGCCGCGGCTCTCCTCCTTCTGCTCGATCGACGACACGATGCGCCACGAGGCACGGCGAGCGCCGATCACGTTCTTATAGGCGACGGAGAGGAGGTTGCGCTCTTCGACTGTGGGTTCTTCGCCTTCGGGGACGGAGGAGACGACCTTCTCCATGAACTCCACCATCTCCTCGTAGCGCTCGGCTTGCTCGGCCAGCTTCGCCACGTATACGTTCTCTTCGCGTGGGGACGGGGTCGCCATTGATGGGGTTCGAAAATGGAATTCAAGAAACTGGATTTGGGGATTTGGGGATTTTGAACGAGAGAGAGAGGACAAGAAGAGAGAGAAAGGAAGGGTAGACGAGACTCGCTTATATAGGTGTGTATATATAATATGTAATATATAATATATATTATTATTATTATTATTTTTTTTTTGTTTTTTTTTTTAACTTGAGGTACTTATATTTGAATCACGAAGGATAGACACAGATATCATGAGGTTTGATTGAATTCAGAACTTTGGAATGGCAATTGGGCCGGTTTGGGGCCAGGGATGGCAATTGGGCGGATTCGGGGTTAGATATGGGAATACCAGCCTTGTACCCGCTTCCCATCTTTAGCCCCTATCCTCGGTAAAAAAGATTTCGAGGAATCCTGGTCCCCGTAAGTAGGGCTCGTCAATGGGCCGGGCCGGGCTAACGAGTTTGGGCCGGGCCAGGCCGGACTTCAAAGAGGAGAGAGAAAATATA